ATATGGGGAGAGGAGGAGAGGACAGCATGACTGTGTGTTCCCTCCAGAAGCTCCAGTCCGTGCAACGTGCACAGGAGAATCACAGGGAGGCTGGAGGCTGGTGGCCTTAGATGACTCCAAGAGGATTGGGTGGAGCATGGGGGCTGGCCCCCCGCAGCTGCCTGGAGGCAGGGCAGGCTTTGCCAAGCAGAACCTTTGGGCATAGATAGGATGGCTGAGCAGGAGTTAACCAGGTTTTCTTACAAGGCCTGGGTGGGTGGGGACTGGGTGCCCATTTGGTTCTTTGTCCTGCATGGTGCCAGCTGTGGGTGTGTCACAGATTCAGGGGTGGGTGGAAACAAGGCAAAACTTACCACAATCCCAAGACAGTGTGTCTCTCTTGGCCATCAGTGGCTGTTACTGCAGACCTAGAAGTCACTGTGAGTTTTGCCAAGGATGATGTCCCTAGGTTAGTAAGCCGTGACTGGATTCAGAGCTGATTGGCACCTGTTCTTGTCATGGGTTCATTTTACCAGCATCATCAGGGTGCGCAGAGTTGGAACCAACCGTGGCTGAGTCTGCACCAGGTCAAGAGCCGCCTTATGCTCACACCAAGGAGTGCGGCTCATGTCCCCAGGCTGGGGGTGGTGTGGGGACGAGGAGCTGTGTCCACACTGGTTGCCCAGCCCAGGAAGGGCAACTCTCTCCCCCATGAAACCTGCGGCTGCACACTGGGACATGACAAATGACCAAAAAATCAATTTGTAATCTGATTGGAGGTTTTTTATTTCCTCTGATGAGTTTAAATTTCATTAAAAGCAACCTTATTCCAACATAAAAGGAATCCTTGAAAGATAAAACAGGGGATTGTCTCACCCAGGATAAAGCATCCCAACTCTTTTGTGTGATGTATTCATGGCATTAATTGTGAGGGCCAACCTGTGGTGTCTGTTGGCAGCTGCATCATTATCAGGGCCTGGGATCGGCCCGGCGAGCTCAAAGCACAAGGACGCACATTCAAAAATCGTTCTTTGGCATATTGACACTTCAGTTATCAACAACCCTTTTTATCTGCTGGGAGGGAGAGTGCAGCTCCTGGGGCCAGAATAAGCCACAAATCACCACCGTGGCCACCTCTCTGCACTCTCTTAATTGTATGTAGTCTCTGGAAAAAGTGATCATTGTGGCCTGTTGTCTTGATGAGAAATTGACATTTTCTGAGGACTTCTTTGGGCGCTCCAAGCAGGGGAGATAAGGCTGGAGTTGTTTTAAAGGAGGCCAGCCTTTCTTTCTTTTCAGGGGCCTCTTTATTGCTCTCGTTGACCCACTTGATGAGTATGGATTTCATGAGGTCTTTTTCAGCATTTGAACTATAAAAGGTTCAGAATGACACCACCCCTTATAGACAAAAGATAACCTTGCCCTTTGAATATATTGATTCTTTATTAACTAGGCTGTTTAATGCAATGAAATGAGGCATTAGATTGAAGCCATTTCAAGTGCTTTGAATAATCTTTAAAAGCTTGAAAGACCTTAAAAGGCAGCCTGACAATAATTGGCATACATTGTGAAAGAATGTGGTTCTTGCCTCTGATTTGGAACACAAACACAATTTCTATTTCCCCAGTTACAGGGCCCGGCAAGCCGGCCCCCAGGAGCGGGCTGTTGCTGGTACCAGCTCAGAGTGGGAGACAGACGACTTGCTGGGCAGCACCTTCCCCAGCCCCCGCTCCCAGCAACTTGGGAAGAAGCCTCCGGGGTGCGGGGGGGGGGGGCGGGCTTGTACCCATGAGTCTCTTCCTTTACTGTCTCTTTAAGGCTGAAAGGAGACCACAGTCAAAGGAACCCGATTGTCGAAACGATTGTCACTGACAGGAGAAAAAAGGTATTCACAAGTTTCTTTATGTTTTGAATAATTGTTTCCTGTTTTGCTCTGCAGAAGAAGTAATTAAGATGACATTTTTGAGTACTAATTTGGATCACACTTATGTGTATGTGTTACAGAGCTGCAAGCCAAAACATGCAAACCCAGCCTTTCATTGAGGAAAAAATGGAAAAACACTGAGTGACATGGGGTGGGAGAGCTAGAAACTTGTAGGAGCTGAGCGTCATTGTATAAATTAGAGCCTCAGTGTTGATGGCAGTTCTCATTATAGTCGGTGCATTCGGTTACACTTATGCAAGCCGGCAGTGGCTGGAGCACTGCATTGGGTCTGCCATGCCACTGCAGTGGACGTGGAGTTGGTGACGGTGTCCCTCACGTCAGACCTCAGCCAGCATCTGGGTGCCTGGTGTCTGCCCACCCGCTAGGGCTCTCTGCTGATGTGCTCTACCAACCCTGGTTCTTGCCCGAGGGGCACACAACAGTGGCGTTAGTAGCAGCATGTGTCTGGGGTAGCCAGAGCAGCTGCTCTCTGCCTGCCCTACCCTCCAGTTCAGAAGCAGAGAAGCTGGGGCAGGAAGGTCTGGGGGAGCCAGTTTACCAACCCCCCAATAAGCCATGGGATTTGTGTGTTCTCAAAGACCAGCAGCTGGTCAGTGAATGTGCCACCAGTGCTTTTGTGGCCCAGAGAACATGTGACACAGAAAAACAGCACCAGAGCACCAGCCTGTGAGCGTGTGTACAACATATGTATAGATGGCACCCCTGGGGATCAGAACCACTCAGGTAGTGATCTGCTGAAGGTCTCCGTGCAGGTTAGACTGAGGATAACCCTGTGGAAGGTTCTTGCATGGATCATTTTTATCAAGACACCACTCCAAAGCCCAGGATGTGCAAATGAAACCCCAGTGTAACATCCGTGTGTGTTTAGTCCGTTGTTTTAATAATCAAAACAGACAAAATTACCAAAAGTGAAATCCACAGACAAGAAATACTTTAATTAAATATTGTGTAAAATGAACATTTTTATACAGTTAAATATCTGAAAAAATGTACAGATAAAACAATCTTATTGTAGGGTTTTTAACAGTAAAATCTACCATTTAGTGAAGCGCTCAGATTTGAGACAATGAAGCCATGAGGGCACTGGCTAATTAATCTAAAACACAAACCAAGTGCGGGTATGAGGAAACCGGCAAACGTCCTTAACACGTACACATGAGCTCTTTTGTAGATCAAACCCTCACTTATACAAAATAAAACGGAGGCAATTTAGTTCCAAAGTGACTTCTCAGGCTTTTCTGTGTAGCTAAGCCTCGTCAGCCGTCACAAAGCCAGAGTGTGACCCGCTGACCACTGGGGACATTCTGTTTATTATTTAGTCTCTCGAATGAACACTTTCTAAGTTGTGCACTGTTGTTTACTTTTGTCAAGAAGTTTTTGAAAGTCCCTCCTTTTTGTTTTAAATTTGATTTCTGCTGCAGTTTGCAAAATGTTTGCTATGCTGTGTCTGCAAAGCGTTTGGTGCAAAGGAAAAAAAGAAAACCTTTTGGTCACACTGTGGGTTTGGCACTAACAGGCACAATATCTGAAGGAGGTCATTCCAGTTTAAAAAGTACAGACGGTGCTGTTGGATATGACCACAAAAATGTGTTGTTAAAAAAAAAAATTAAAAACCCAGAGTGATTTTGGTCTCCCCTGAAACCTCTCTGAATCTGAGGTGGCCTTGGGTAGGTGCAGAGTGCAGCAGATGTAGACCCGGAGAGGAGTGACACACGGAACCGCGGGTTTGTGCTTTTGTGTGTTTGTGTGTGTGTGCGTGTGCGTGTGTGTGTTTTACACCATAAATCTCCAAACGAAATATTAATTAACAATTGTGGTGTAATTCTGTGATAAAATAGCACAAATGTTCTTAAGAGAAGTCCACTTTTAAGGCATCAGAGAAGTACATGTGGCAAACATTTTAATTAAAACATCAGAAGTAAATTTTATTTTAAACTTTAGGCCTCTGAATTTTTCCAGTAAACACAGTTCAGCTATGTGGCAGTCATGGGTGGCAGCTAAAATGACTTTTTTACATTCTACAAAAAATAAAATAATAAGGACACAGCCCCAAACGGTGTCGCCTCTTTGTGGCCGCTCCACATGCACGGAATCTACTAGGATTTGTCACAGCCGGGTGGCACCGTTTTGTTTTGACTATACAACAAACTTTTTTTTTGTTTTTCAAAAGTATTTGTTTAGATAACTTAAAAATAATATAAAAATAAACAATGAATTTGACTTTTCCTCAAAATAATAAAAAAAAAAAGAATGGAAAGTCTAAACAATAGCAAACGTTTGAAGTACAAACGAAACGGAAGGGCGTAGGCTCATTTTAACAAAACAGATCAAAGAGACAGTTCTTGGCTAATGCTCGTCCCAGCATCACAACACCAGGCCGTGATCAAAAACCAATACGGGCAAAAGAAAGGAAAAGAAAGAAGGCGGGAAAAGCAATGTACAAAATCTCAAAGATAAATACAATATTTATAATTGATATGTTACAAAATAAAGTCCCTTAGCAACTGCGAGTGTTCGTGGGAGAGTAAGTGTCGAACGAGGACCATTTTATTCCTTATAAGACACATAAGGAATAAAACTCGTTTTCCTAAATATTTAAGTGGATCTGAAAAAAATTCAAGACAAGTGTATAAATATTTAGCTACAACTTTGGCAAAATCACAAAAGTCTACAATTTTATAACCACATACAAAACACATTAGGGAAGAAGGATCTAGAAGTCAAAAGGACAATTTCTGGTACAAGAAACATAGACCTCACAGTAGCCTAAGAATGCAATAGTATACAGTGCTAGCAAAAGTGGAAAAAATGTTGCAGATCACACTTGCTTAACAGGAAGCTCTAGCAGTGGGAGAATATTGGAACCAGCAGACAGTAGCATTTTCTTCTCTGTCAGTGTGCTTGTTGAAGGCAAAAGAATTCAATATCAAAGTTACAATTTCTAACTACAATAAGTTACAAAGTTTCATTTCATTAAGATGAAGTTACGCAATGATAAGCCCTCCCCCTCCCCCACCCCAGCTCTCCTAACCGTGTAGTCACCCTTTGTTCCAGTTCGATGGCTCATACCTCCTTGGCCCCCTTTTTTCACCACAAAAAAATATTTCACATTATAGAGATACACAACCGTTGTGGATCTAAGTATGAGTACAGAGAATGTCTGGAGGCATTTTTCATCAGTGTTTCATGATCATCAAAATGGTGCATTCACAGAGTTTCTCCCAACACAAAGCAAGTACTAGACAGAGCCAAGACGGAGTCAGAAACTTTATACAAAATAGGCATCGCTTTGTTTTTCCTTAGTCTTCAGGACTGAGAAATGTGAAAATATGAGAAAAGTTCAGTCAATAAAATGGAATTGTTCATGAAGAAGTAGGTTGTTTGAGTGTTGATTCTTAATAGTTTAAATAAAATCTTTAAACAAAGTCTTTTGTAGCATTGCAACTGCTGCTGACTTTTCTGAAGATACTGTTTCCATCAGCATGTGTTATATACTAAACGTGTCCCCTGAAGTCCGTCCTTTGATGCTGGGTGCGGCTGAAGGTAAACAAAGTCCCTCACATTGGCGGGACTACCAGCCCAGACATAGCTGCAAGAGAGAGAGAGGGAGAGAGAGAGAGAGGGGGGGGGGGGGGGGGGGGGGGAGAGAGAGAGAGAAAGAGAGGGAGG